GGTGAATTGGCGAAATATTTACAGCTCTAGTTCCCGACTGAGTATTTATATATTTTATTAAATTTATGTAGGTGTATGTATGCATGTGTGTTTTTATATTGTGTATGTTTCTGGACCTAAATTATGTTAATATCATATTTTATTTTGCACCTACCGCATCATATTTCTACATCACCTGAAGGTTGACTGGGAGAGAATGCCTAATGGCATTAAGTCCGCCTTTGTACAATATGTGCATTAAGTTTAAAATAAATAAATAAATAAATAAACTGCGCTGCGCTGTGCTAATGATATGTAGTTTGAATTTTTTGCATTTTTTTTATGGAAGGGGGGCAAACGAGCAGATGGGTCGCCTGATGGAAAGTGACTACTGTCGCCCATGAACGCCTGCCACTCAGGAGTCACAAGTGCGTTGCCGGCTTTGCATAACATGTTTTTACCATGACATGTCTCCTCATTCAACAACAATTTAATCCAGGGTTGAACTTGGGTACCGATTCTTCAACATTCTTAATCTTATTTTATTACTATTTACTACTTAATTCGAAGGCAAGTAGGTCCTAACAATAAAAGCCAATAAAATTATATTTCTGCTCACAAGATTTTTATTCCTTGAAACATTCAGTTTGTATGTATTTTAACAAATTGATGAAAGAAAACAACATTTTTTATTGTACTGTTGAAGGGTAGTAGAGATATTGTCCGTTTAAATAAATATTCTCATAACAGTTAAAACTCAAATTTAAAACTAAATAAATTGCTTATAGTGTCTAAATTACTTTAACAACAGATTTATCTAAGCACTGCAATTAAACTTCGTGACAAAAACGTTTTATTGCGTAACAAAGTAATATTACTTTGTTACGCAATAAAACGTTAAATATACATGACGCGTAGGTTTTTAAACGTGCTGTAACATAGAATAATATAGGCATACGTTTATATTCTGCATATTCTTTTAAAATACATTTTTAAATATGATAAAAAAAAACAGTTTCAGTGTTAACAAAAACTCCTTTTGGTAATCACAAAAATTAGAATACATTTTTGATACATGAAATAATGTTCATTGCAACATCAATGTTTTAAGCTTAGATTATTTATATGTCTAAATGAAGTGTCGCAATATAAAACAACAACAAAAACGGTTCAACTAAATTATATTAATGTGCGTGCCAATCTATGCTGGTGAGCGTCTAAATCCAGCGTTTATTGGAGTGATGCCTTTTTCCCCAAGTTACAAGTTCCCCTGACACCGACAACACAGCGAGAGCGGGCAGGAATTTAGTGGCCAATAGTTGGATACTATTTTTTTTTCTCTTGCACAGCATTACAGTTTATCTAGACATATCACTAATCCATGGCTTCTAATTAGTTGTTCAGACGTAAATCTGTTATTATGAATTACATAATAATATTCTGCCTTGGAAAACACCTAAATTGCAATGTACCTAATATAGACAATACCATTTCTGTTAGTAAAAAAAATGTTCAAGTGTTCTTAAGACAAATAATAATTACCCCGTATAATCCGAACTTATTGAACAGATTTGACATAAATGTACAGGTACGTACCAAGTACAATTGCAATGCTATTTTATTATATTTATTAATATTAATAGTCTATTCTCACAACATCTGGACTATGTGATACGGGCATTAGCAACATGAAAACAATAAGCGCTGCCAAAGTTAAATATATAGTGTTTTTGGGGGTAAGTAAGTACGTACTCCCAAAACACCGTGAAAACGGTGAGTAGGGTTCTCGTAATCATTTTCCTTTTCCTCTCCTTCAGTATCTTTTACCGTTTTGTTCGAAGGCAGAACACTAAATTGCCTTCTCAATTTAAAAAATATATTGCAAGGATTACATATAATGCCAAAGTGACACATGTCATTATGACATGAAGATACAGGGCTGCACTTGGAATTAAATATATACAATATAATCACTTTTAAACACTTACATTATATATTACATATTTTCATTTTGCTAATGCAGTATCAGTTATCTATACTATAGTTAACAACAGTAAAAATTGCATCGATATAATGTTCAAAAGTTTGCCTAAAAATCTCATTCTATAAAAGAAAAGTTTAAGGATAGTAGAAAGAAGGCCAATATTATAATTAAAAGTATTTGATTACCCGTCAACCATATTGATGATAAACATATAAAAAGGGCCATCTACACGCTGGGTCTACAGGAGTCTAAGCGTCATGGTACTACTCGGTTGGCTTTAGCTACCAACTTTCTCTGTTTACAGACAGATACATTAAAACAATGAAGACTAAGCCTTAGACGACGTATTCTGTTAAGTCAACGTGCAAATGAGCATAAAAATATTAGAAACTACATTATTGGAAGTCAAATATAATTTAAAATTTAATTACAATTATTTATCTTCTAAAACCATAAATCCAAAAAGATGTCAAAATTTATTTGAAAATATTAAAACTTTGGAAATGCCATTACAAATCGTGGCGGATAAAAGTCTTAAATACATTGTTGAGGCTTAAAAGAAATAATCTCAAATAATTGAACAGAGTCGGATTTGCAAAAAAATCCATTTATTATTATTATATATATTGCACAAAATAAGCTTCATAAGCAAATGGACGTACGTAATTACGTGCGATTGTAACATTAATAAATATTTTTATAACATAACACACGACTAGCATCATAATACTTTCTGCTTGAATAAATAAGAAAATAATTTAATTGCACATTTTAAATGTAAATTATGTAAACATCCTCTTACACACTTAGTTACACCGTACACAATATTTCTCAGGCCGAAGAGACGAATATTCTATTTTAAAATTTTAACAGACAATACTTAGTTTTCTCATCGGCTATAGAAAAATAATTATATATCTCATTCATTTACACGTAAGTACCTATTAACAAGAAGTTGAAAAGGGAAAACGAGAGCCGTAATCTCTTTCTATCGGCTGACACATAACAGTTTATTCAAGTTAATAAGGCGTCTGGTTACTATGTAACAATATTAACTTGTTTAATGATTCTAGTTGCACTCAGTTTTTTTTTAAATGAGATACTTTAAGGTTGTTTAAAAATGTTTTTTTTTAAATAATGTATTCATTTGAATGCTTTTGTAAATTGTGTGTGTATCATTCAATAATTGAATGAGGTGAGAGGATAGAGGAAGATGCCACCTTATCCTGTTTACCAGTGTCAATATAGTGATGACCATTATTAACTTGAATTGACTTAGTTAAAAGTTTGATGTTCAGTTACAAAATCCACAAATTCTGTTGTTTTTAAAATAGAACATCGTGAAGTAATACTAGATCACAGTCTATGTAAATAATACATATAATTAGATTTACATTTACCTAGAATTTGTTTTACAGGAAACATGTTAACGTCAAAAAGACGCAGAGATTTAAAATACTAAAGTTACTATTAGTTTAGTTCTCTAATGATTTCCCTTGACCGAACAAAATTACTGGACAACAGCACTGCAAAGAGAAGGAAAAGCTTGAAACAAACCCTATATCAACCCGTCTGGCCAGCGTGGTATAGTAGGCCAAAACCTCCTTTCTAAGGAGACGCCTATGTCCAGCAGTGGACTATAATAGGCTGTTGATGATGAACAAAATTATTCGTCAAAGCTACATTTATTATTGTAACGAACATACAATTTTCGACACATAAATTTATGTTTAAAAAAGTCTACAATTGTCCATTCCATTGTCTTATATGTGTCTGACACAAGCAAATATCTTCACTAGATAGGATAGTAAAAACAATGAGGCACAGAAGGAAAATAAAGCAGAATTATTTATACAGCGTGGCAGAATTATTTCGGTTATATAATTAACGAATTTGAGAAAGTAAGGTCTTTTTATTTTTTAAAGTTAAATAATGCAAAAATGTTCCAATAATTTTGTTCAGCCATATAGAAATATATATTTGATGTAGTACTACTTAATACGAAGTATCTAACAGTAGAAATGTACAACGATAACGACTATTAGTAAAACGACATTTTGACTCACACAAGTCGAAGTAGAGAGTACGACCCTGAACTCTGACGTCACTTTGTAGAACATTTAGCTTAAAACTAAATAAAAATGAAGGTTTATCCCAAAGACCATCCTATGTTAATGCCAATAAATATTAGAATTGTGAGAATGTAAAACAGGAAAATTACATCGTGTGGCAATAATTGCCACGGCTGCCATATTGTGAAACGTCACTTCACTGTGTCAATAGTAAAATTATTCTTACCTTCCGTTATTTAATTTTTAAAATGTTGAGTTTTTTTTACAAGGATCAAAGCGTTTATTTTACCTCCATGTTCCAAAAAATAAGGTTAATGAAGCAAAGGATGATGGAACAGTGTCAGTGAAGAATTTTTTAAATATTTGAATAATGAAATTGCAGAATTTTCTACAAAGAGACGTTAGAGACAACCCTCTTGTCTAATCGATCGATTTGGACGGCTTTACTCTGTCCAACTTCTCGGGTTTTTCTGTACTGTTCTGGCTGCTCCTGGAATACATTAAAACAGCTTAAAAGTGAGCTAAAGATAATCACTGCTACTCCTAATTTACTTCAACTGTCGGCCTTTAATCACATCACACATCACATCACATCTCTCCTTAGGAGGTTTTGGCCTACTATACCACGCTGGCCAGACGGGTTGGTATAGGATTTGTGTCAAGTTTTCCTTCTCTTTGCAGTGCTGTTGTCCTGCGTAGTTTGCTCCCTTAGTCGCCTCTTAGGACACCCGCGCAATGAATAGGGGTGGTGACACTCTGTATTCTTAATCCGTCACCACACGGCCTTTAATAGTCAACTTATTTATTGATGTTATGATAAGAATTATTTCGATTTTTGGATAGACTGGGCTAGAACTGCATCTTTCAAGGGTACGAATTTCAGTTGGGAATGGAACCCTAATAATAGAAACTAAAAAGAACATAGACGGGAGTGCAGCGGTAGCTTACCAGTTCAAACTCAACCGTCACAACATATGGCAAAGCCGGCCCTTATGTTTCGTTTTCGCGGGCAGCTCTTCGAGCAGCGAGGTTCGTTGGCTGTCTGTCACCAGCGTGCTCTTCCTCAGAGCTCGCTCGGTCTCGGGAGCCCCATCCCGGGAGGGCGCTGCGTACATTGATCTGAAACATGCTTTAGTTTTACTCATTTTCAAAACTGCTTCTTCCTTCAATGGTTCGTGGATAATAATTGCGAGGAGGGGGGAGGAGGGCTGGTTAAGTTGAGAGCTGATTGATCTCTACTTTATATTTGAAAGAAAGATAAGTCTGAAATATATTCGTTAGTCGAATTTGATCAAAAATATTCAATGCATTAATATATGTTGCGTGTGATTTTTTGTAAGTACCCAGAATATTGCAGGTTTTTTCTTGTGAAAGTTTCAATAAATAGAGAAAAAATTGCATTATATCTATATACCTACTGTATATAGATAATAATGCATTTTTTGCAAATTACTAGTCAAAATATATAATAAACTAAATAAATACAAAGCCAGATGCTTACTAGCGATTATTTGGCAGCGTTTACTCTCTTTTCTTTCACTCTTACAGCCATCTCCAAGCAGTCACGACTATACTTTGGACTATGTTCAATTGTATCAAAACCATTAGATTATATTCTACAACTTGAAAAGTGGTATCATATTGAAAATGAATAAAATACTTCAAAAGTACAGAAGCGCATTTAATTATATTTTGGACATTCTGCTTAGCTATGAGTTTGGTTTGGTCTATTGCTGCCAACGTGCTACAGAAAGCTATAATAGGACAAATTAGTTATGTATGTATTTAAGACTATATGCAAATAACTTTGTACTTTGTGTTTCTTTTTCTTTTCTGTTTTTTTATTATTTTTGTTGTTTTTTCCTTTGAATTTACAGCTAAACGTAACTAAACTGAGGGCAAGACTCTATATCATATGATTTTTAATGATACCGATGCAAATAATATATTTTTATTAAGTATCTGTACCTAAGGTACTTATTTCTTCAAAAGATAGATATCTTTCTTTTTCTTCTGAATTTTTGCTTCCATAACACTAGCTTTCTGTATGACGTTGTTTAAAACTGTCTGTACTTTCTATTTATACTACGAAACGCCTAAATCAGTTTCTAAGCGGCTACACGCTCAAAGATTACAGCGTAATCTACCATTTCTGAGCAGCAAGCTTGGACATTCTAAATGTAAGGACACATACCTTGTGAGCTTATTTCTGTTTGACCTGGAGGTGATATTGGAACTCTTTCCTCTTCTTAAAGAGTGGAAAGAGTGTTTGATCGGCTTGACAACTGCCATGCTGGTACTGGTTTCGGGAATTGGCTTCGAGCAGTTTAGGGTTTGGACTGTGAGCTCCACATCTTTTATTGGCTCATTTGATGCTGTAAAGATATTCATTAATATTATTGTAACACTGTTACTTGAATATTTGTAAACTCATAAAATAAAAGTCTTGTTAAAAGCACCCGTGAACGGCGACCGGCTTCCACATTCATCAGGTCTTTCGTACGAATGAATGATTGAATGATGAAATGTTTTACTTACCGGTAAACTCTTCAATAGGCTTGTCAATAGTATCATGGTCGATCCACGTGAGGCCCATCTCCACCTTTTCCGCGAGATCTTGCCACCTCTGTCTGTTATCCATGGTGCCAGAGTACAGGGGCAGGATCCAGGGGAACGTGTCGGAGAGAACTTTATAGAGAGGCAAACAGATCATGTCGATGAAGCCTACTTGCATTTGGGGAAGTTCATCTTTCTTTTCTCTGAAAAAGGAATTAAGACATGAACATTGGTTGTTACTTTTTTTTATGGTATAAGGGGCAAACGTGCAGACGGGTTACTTGATGGTAAGAAACTACTCGTACTGCCGCCAATGGACACCTGCAACTCAAAAGTCACAAGTTCGTTGCCGCCTTTGGAGTCCCTCCAGCTCGAGTCAGCGGGAGGGGGGATTTGAGCTTCGGTAACCTCACTCACTCAGTGAAAGGCAACGAAAGAATTGCTCAACACCGGTTATCTGTGAGGCCGTGGTATCACTCCGAGGCGGCCCATTCGTTAGTACTTAGTTATCTTGGCATTTATTTCTTCGGCTATGTTAAGCATTAATTTAAAATGATTGTATAAATGAATTAAGGTATATCTTAGGAAGCCTGATCCGTTTCAGAGCTGACTCTTTTCAGCTCTCTCTTGTTATGTTATGAAAATCAGCTGCACTCATAAATCACAAATCATAAAGCACTCTTGATTTATTATGCGTGCAGTGCCAGATGCAGACTCCTAAGCCTTGTGTGTAATTGACTATTGTATGAGTGTTGTACCCGTTACAAAAATTTAAAATATTGCTCAAAATATACATCCATAATTTTGTAGAAAAGTTACTAAAGGGTTTACCTTTAGTAACTTTAATACTTGGTTATTTATTTTACTACATATCAGATCAGAACGTACCTGTCCATCATGGCGATAGGTTGTTGATTTAGCTGAAGTTTTTCCAAGTCGCCCTGGTCAAAGAACTCGTCCGCGACCAGCTTGGCCACCTTATGCTGAACCTCCCAGGGCTTGGCGATCGCTGACACGTCGCAAGCTGTCATCATCATGCCGCAGAGTACTGGGATCAGAGAGAAATTTAATTAATTACATCAGGTCATCAATATTAAGTATCCATTTCGGTCATGTAATAGTTATTTAAAATTTTTAGTATGTGTATGTAGTCTCTGTCCGTGTCGTGACGGATTATGAATACGGAAGGTCACCCCTATTCATCCCGTAGGTGTCATAAGAAGCGACTAGGGAGCAAACTGAGGGGAAATACTTGAAAAACCTGTCTGGCCAGCGTGGTATAGTAGGCCAAAACCTCCTTTCTAATGAGAGGCCTGTGTTCAGCAGTGGACTATTAAAGTCTGTTGATGATGATGATACTGCACGTCAACATTACTGCACTCTGGATGTGAAGATTTAGACATCAAACTCTTATTCAATGTTATTAAGTAAAAGAAATGATTTACATGCAGGGGTTGTTCGAAATAAAATTAAATAATAATATAATTGTTTGTAAGGGCTTGGTGTAATAAATATTAGAACACATTTTAAGTTTTCTAGCCTTCTCCTAATTCTCCAGAAACTTCGGAATTATCTTTCCTGAAAGCCAATTTCGACTTATACCATCATTTAAAAAATACCGAGATCGTCCATATGATCTCAAGTGATGAGCTTACCAAAAAGCAGTATTAATTTTTATATATATTCTCACATTCTTTCTTTTCCGGACTTTGCCAGTCGAACTCCCCGTTCTCCACCAGCTCATGGAATTTGGCTCTCTTCTTGAAGTACATCGCCAGGTCTGTTGATAAGATCGCTGTCTCCACCACTCTCATTACTTGTTTGTAGTCGCAAGGAGATAGAGCCTGTAAAAAAACAAAATAGACTACATTATAATCCCGGCTAATATTATAAATCGGCCTAACACACAAAAGGTTTCGTATCATGGTACAATACGCTAATATTATTTTAATGAAAACGTTGAAAAAAAATTACTGTGAGACTTATATAACCTTTTTTTCCTTTTTATTATAATTTGTTATTTATGTATAATATTTTTTTCTTTATATTTAGTTCTTTATAAGTATAAATACGTCAACGTCACTCATAAAATAAATGCTTTTTCTTACTTATTTTTTTTTAATATTGTTATAGTTATAGTATCGATAGTAGGAAATTACATCTTTATTCGGTGCAAAAATGCATCGAACTTAACCCGACTCCAATTACTAATTTGCATGTCCACCACACCAACTAGGAATACTTGCAAATACATATATCGGTCACACTGTGCGCAGAGACGACGGAAGTATTTTAAAACTTATAGTGGTTGAGAACATTGAAGGCAAAAGATCGAGCGGTTGTGCACCTACAAGATGGACGTTCGTGTACGTTTCAACTGGCAGAGGCAGATCATCCGCTCCAGATGCAACCCTGGTACTTAACGCGATTATCATATACTATGAGGGAGCGAGCTGAGAGTAAGAGAGAGCGATAATCGTTTGTAAGATACTATACAGACACAGTCTGTGTGGTGACGGGTTAAGAATACGGAGTGTCACCACTCCTATTCATCCCGTGGGTGTCGTAAGAGACGACTAAGGGAGCAAACTACGCAGGACAACAGTACTGCAAAGAGAAGGAAAACTTGAAACAAACCCTATACTAACCCGTCTGGCCAGCGTAGTATAGTAGGCCAAAACCTCCTTTCTAAGGAGAGGCCTATGTCCAGCAGTGGACTGTTAAAGGCTGTTGATGATTGCTGAAGATACTTTAGGCAATTGGATCTGATGGAAACTCTTACCTGAAAGATATTGTTGCTTTCACTGTTCAATATCATAACACACTGGTCAAAATGATGGTGCTCCATCGTCGAAGTTGAATACAAAACGGCGAGAGGACTCTCAGTTTTGGTTTGGAAGGCATTATTCGTCCCTCTGTGGTCCAGGTCGTGGCACAGACAGGCTACGAGGAGTCCAAGAATCTCCAGGTCAGACATAAAACGTTCCATTTTGCCAGTTTTGAGCATGGCAAACATTGTCTGGGCTACATTCAGAGCGTGTCTCCAGTTGTGATATTTGACAGGGCGGTAGTTTTTTTTAACGCTAAGAGTCCAGCGACACAGGACCTGGAAATATAGGCAAGATATTCAGATTCTTATATCTGAAATAGGTCAAATTTTTGTGGTTTTATTTCATTAGTCGATAGTCAGACAATCAGTGTTAGTACTTTTGGGTACTAATTCCGATTTCATAGTTTAATTTTTGTATATTTTTTAATTTGTGTAACTTTACTATCCGTAAATGATGAACATAAAAAGCCATGCAATTTTTAGGCTTGACCCTTTAGTATTCACTCATGGGAATGTCAATTTGTCAATTATATTTTTATATTTTATTTATGTATAATTTCAAGAATAAAAGTATATATGCCATTTCAGGTTATCGTCTATCTCTGTACCAAACATAATCCAGATTCATTCTGCCATCCTGGAGTAGCAAACATTCATCCGAAATATCGCATTTATAATACTAGGTCTGAATTTGACTGGCCTAGTATTATAAACGGATTACAGCAGGGTCACTAACCACTAGACCAACAGGTCTAGTGGTTAGTGACCCTGACTGCTATGCCAGATGTCGTGGGTTGGATTCCCACCCAGGACAAATAATTGTGTGATGAGCACGGTCATTTGTTCTGTGTCTGGGTGTACTTTATCTATAATATGTATGTATTTAGAAATATATAAGTATGTTTAACAGCAGTCTGGTTACCATAGTACAGGCTCTGCCTAGTTTGGGATCAGACAGCGATTATGTGAAATGTGTGAAAATATTATTATTATTAGGGAAAATTGTGATTTAAGACTATGATGTTCAATTTTTATATTTTTTGACATTAAACGTTTAGAAATATAAATTATTTCAGTTATATACTAACATCGTACGGTATGTGAAACTTCTCCACGAGGTTGCATTGTAGGAACATACGCAAAGTTGCCCTGCACGTGTCTTCGTCTGCCAGTTCGAAGTCTAAAACATTCAACATGAAAGTTTAAGCAATCAATATGATTGGATCCATGAACGGGCCTTTCCTTATTTTAAATGCACATTTTAATACATTACAATTCAAAAAGAAATATATAGTAGGGGAGCCCATGATAGTAAATAGGATTTACTCGAGTGTCATGGGGACCTATTGCATTTGAAATATTAGGTAATAGAATCGATCAAAGTTATTTGGAAAAGCTTCTACAGGTTTTCAAAAATGTAAGGGGAAGAAATCGAAAAAAAAAATATTCGCGCGTATCAGATATTTTGGTCATATGTGATCTGGACGACAAAAATGCTCTCATTGAAAGGTCTGACGATTTTACAGTGACACAAGCTCGTAGCGAATTATCGATAATGCAAACTGCAAGATCGAAAAATCGCCATTTTGAAATAACCGATCGTCTTAGATTTTATACAGACGGTTCAGCTTGATATTCCTCTCATACTAGCCATAAATCTGACAGTAATTTTGTCAGATTTTTGCAGGGTATTTTAAATCTGACAGTTAGAATGTTTTTTTGGCGAATGAGACAAAGTAAGGAACGAAAAATTATGTAGACATTTAAAGAAGATTTCTTGCATTGTTTGCTTCAAAGTAAAAAAAAATGTCAAGGTCATGGTTTTTTTTTTGTACTTTGTGACCCACTGCTTTATGTCACGCTCAAATTGTCTAATGATTTTAAATACACGCTAATGTGCATGTAAGTAGTAAATCCCGAAAGCCCTCCTAGGGCTCCCCTGCTAATATATTTAACTAACATTTAATTAATTTCACAAGCGATTAATTATAATTTTATATTTTATCTCTCAGTACGATATTTAAAAAAAAACAGTTAAACTTCAAGACTTGAAAAAATCCATAAGTTCTAAAGCTATGGTTATGACATCTTTTTATTTGCTAGTAAGTTTAAACAATACTCGTATATGGGCAATTAGTAATAAAATAAATAAATAGTAATAAAACATTTCAATACTTTATCTTACCATGAAACTGAAAGCTGTACAGGTTGTAGATCTCGGCGGAGGGGATTATATCCTGGTATAATTTGTTCGTATCCTCAGCTGAAGCAGTCGCGTGATAGGAAAGACATTCTAGCGCCACCTAGTGTCACAACATAACATAAATGACTACAATTGATTACAGTTAGTAATATCTTTGTGGTGACGGATTCACATAGATAGTGTCACCACCACTATTCATCCGTTTGTGTCGACTAAGGAAGCAAACTACGTTTTGCAACAGCACTGCAAAGAGAAGAAAAACTTGACACAAACCCTATACCAACGCGTCTGGCCAACGTGGTACAGGAGGCCAAAACCTTATAATAGGTATTGTCAATTGTCAATCCAAACATTAAAAGTCATAAACTTGATAATAGCGTATCGTGATGTCATCAAATCTTATTGTGTTTGCTGAATATAAAATGAAAACATTCTCATTTGAAAAGAACTAGAGCTCGTCCACAGGTCATAAATAGACCGTTTAAAAAACATCGTAAATTTGACCTTTAACAAAAAAAGGATGATCCTTGAAAAGTGTAGTATTTATGTTAATGGAACTTTATCCACTGTATTATAATTAAACTAAAAAATTACCTTCTGTTTTGCCATCAGCTTACACGCATTCTCATACATCTGGGTATTGTGGATACCGAGCCCGCAGAAAATGGCGAATGCTTCAAATATAGAGATGTCGCCGTCGGTAAATTGGCAGCCATTTTCCTGTTCAATATAACATAATCGTTTATAAGATTCGAGTTTTGATCTGCAGGCGTAACTTCTAGATAAACTGGCACGTCAAAAGTTAATATCTGAAAGGTCTTAGTGTGACTTCTTACCTTATTGATAAGTTGTGCAACTCCAATAACATCTTTGGCACCGTTTACAATAGGCATGCACAGCATCGTCCTGACATTAGCCGCGTCGTCGTTTGTGACGTCATGAACTATCATAGCATTCTCTCGTCTCCACTCATCGACGTCAGATATGTTGAGAGCTTTGTTTGACTGCGCCACCTGTGACAAAATTATGGTAAAAATAAAACTCTAGATTTAAAAAGCAAGTTCTTGACTTAGTTAAGTCTCTAATCATGGGATGGATTTAGTCTTCTTCTTCTTTCCATATACTTTTTACATCTTGGAGCTGATCTGATATAGGAGATGTATAAAGTAAACGTTTCCGTGGCCCAGTGCCACTGAAAAGGTCACCAAACCTCTCGAGTTTAGGCTCGTATGATTCGTTTTATCGAGTCCAAGTTATTTGCGTTAGTGACGTTGATCTGATGATGAATCTAGAACGTGGATTATGAAATTCGTTTTCGTTGTTGTCGCCGCAAACGCGTATTTGTTATAATATTGTATAGAGTGCTAAAATATTTTACTCATACCGTTTTGTAACTGAATGGTACCCTAGAGGTGGTAAAAAAACCAGAGGGCAGGGTAAAGGTAGGGGAAGAGATGGGAGGGTGAGATAAAATTAACAATCGTTTCCAACTGGAAGTTGGTAGTGATAGAAAATAATGGAATATCTTAGAGGAGGCGGAGGAGGAGGGTTAAAATATTATAGCACTTTAGACGACCATAGTAAATGTTCAGGATAAAAGGCTCATTGATTAATTGATTTTGTAACGCTGTTATGACTCCCATAATTATAAAACCTACAGTTCATGGCTGTTGTGGTGAGATATTTAAATGTAGAGAAAAGTAATATTTTGTATACGTTTTAATATAAACCAGCAAATTTATCAAGAAAAATATTTCTCAGTCAAGAGTTGGTATTTATTTTGGCGTCGATAACAAAATATTCTCGTTTCCATAGAGCTTTAGTCGCTCCCTGGTCCTAATCAAACTCAAATATATCAAAGGCAGTATTTGTTTAATGTATTCCAACCATCGAGTTTGGGGTGGGGTGAAAGCCGAACTGTACAGCGTTGAACCGTTATTGATAAATTTCTTTCATTTACTTCTGAAATAGTGCCAGATATTGACATCTGCGAATTTATGAATGTTGTTTTATTATTGATTGAGGGTTCTTTATTTTTGGCAAACTTCCAAAGTTCATAAATATATGCGACATTTTGATGAAATTCACCATGTACAATACATTTTTGCCAACAGTCACGTTGGCGGTAATGTAGGTTTTTGTCAAATTTTAGGTAACCCTCAAGAGCACTATTTTCTACTTAAAGATAAACCATGTTCTTTTCCATACCCCTGAGGGTGCGAACGATATGATGATGATTAGTGAAAGCGTGAAGACACATGAACAAATTTACATTCGCGTTTATAATATTTACAGTTAGGGTATCTTACTGCTAACGCAATGGAAGCGAGAGTAGACGTGTTGTCGTGTCGCGGAGTGAGGGTAGTTCTAGACTGATGGGCACCCAATTCGAACAGAGTGTGGAATCTGGTGAGAGCTGGTGGTGGCAATGCTGGCAGTGAAGACTTCTGACCGCCTGGACGTTGGACTATTCGTTCTAGATGACTCTGGAAGAGAACGTGAGATGATTATATTATATTATGAATTTTAATTCAGAATTAAAACTTAAAATACTCCTCCCTTTTTTGTATACAATGATTATGATGACAGAAAAAAAATTGGAACCGGATCAGCCCTGGCAGAGTTATCCCCTATTCCAAATTTCAAAACTAAATCTCTTTATATTACAATAAACTGTGTAATCCAACCTACCGATTCACAGTGATCTGTGTCCGAAATAAAGACTGCACACCGTTCACACTTCAACAACTCCCGAGCTTCCGTCATAATCTTTGTAACGAGGCATTCTAAATTGCTTTGTTCTTCAAATATACTCCTGGCGAGGGCCAGCAGGATTTGGTTTCGTTTGTACTCCAGTACCGATGACTCAAACAACTGAGCATTTTGGATTCCAATACCACAAAATGTGAGATACCGTCGGAATACCTCTACATCTCTCGGAGAGAATTCTTTGCATCCTGGAAATGAAACAATGAAGTAGTACAGTTCTAGAAGATTTATCTTTATAAAAAATACATTTAAATCCATTGGCTTAGAAGTCACAATACAGATGTGACAATACAGACAGACTTACAGACACAACTTACAAGTGCTGTAAGTTTATAAAATTCTGAATGTACAGAAAATGTTGTTGTGGTCTTTTTGTTTTAAGGGTAAACAAAATAGTTTTAACCTAAAGAGTGAGAATAACTAATGATATGTTTAGTTCTAATGTTATTTATAAACCTCAAAGTAAAGCAAAGATTTCGGCACCACTCACGGAAAATTACAAATTCTTATAAACCCAAAAATAACGAATTTTCTTTCGAATGCGCTTAGAATATCATTACGTGAGTTTTTCCTTACGTAAGATCTTTCACTGGGATTTAATAAACTTTGTGCAAGTTAAAATAATAAATTACTTTAATGTTTAGAACGTGGATCAAATATTAATGCCCCAATAACTATTCAGAAACATTTATCAGCTTTTTAACATTTCAGACGCTGATTATCGATCACCCGCCAATTTTAGACGTACCTAAAGCAGTTCCATAGAACTTGCTTTAATCTACGTTCAGAAACAATCTAAATTTAGTACAGCATGTCCAGTATGGATCTCCTTACCATCTGTTTTGTTGATAATTTGCGCAACACCGACCACGTCACCTTCGTAGTTACAGATCGGCATGCACAGAATCAAATCCGTCTTGTATCCTGTTCGAGCGTCGATCTCACTGTTAAATCTAAAAAGAGATCATGAAAAATAATAAATTATGTGAAATATAACAGCGATAAATCAACTAATAGTATGTTTACTTAGAAATTGAATTTGTTATTATTAGTACCTCATATAAATTTATGTGAATTAAATTTATGTATTTTTAAAGATGAAAAAAACTAATTGTTAATTACTAATTAAATTGCAGTACTGCAAATTATAAGTTTTATAAGACATAATAAGGCTGTACATTAGATGTCTTAAGTGTAAAGGAATAAATGTAAGGATTATAAATAAAAACTAAACTAACCTGGGGTCAGCATAAGCATTCTTGATATTGATAGGATGTTTGGTCTGCGCCGCGAGCCCTGCTACACCAACACCGAAAGGGATCTTAATTTCTTGCGTACGCGCATGTCTTAAAGCGTCATTCAGTTCTGTAGATAAAAAGTTATTGTTAAATATGGGTGAATTAAATGTCACTTTAAAACGTAAGACGTGTGGTCATATCAACTTTAGTATGTTAATGTGTTAAAAAACCCCGACACAAAAATGCCGGGGTGTTATAAGTTTGGCGTGTCTCTGTGTGTGTGTGTCTCTCTGTGGCATCGTAGCTCCCGAATGGATGGACCGATTCTGATTTTGTTTTTTTTTTTGAAAGGGGAATTAGTCGGGAGTGTTTTTAGGTATGAAAATCGGTCTAAGATGGCCGCCTCCACAAAATGGCGGATTACATATTTTTTACAACTCCCTCAATAAGGGTATCAAATGAAAGGGCTTGACTAGTAGAATACAAAACACTCTTTTTTTTCCTTCATGTTGAATTAGCAGGACAAATTTGTACGAAAACTATTATAAAGTAAACCGAAATTCGTGGTAGAGCCACGCTTCAACACAAATGGGCCGACGAAAAAACAGTGCTAAACAGTTTTTTCGTAGCATTTCACCAAGTGAGTGAAGTTACTGGAGTGCAAATCTAAATTAACTGGGTGTGAGAATTAAATAAGGAAATATTGCGAGCTTATTATGAAGGGAAGGTAGATAAGACACAAAATAAATCAGTTAAATTAATTTTCAACTTAAACACAACTACACTGTATAAAACAACTAAAATATTAAATCTTAACCAAATTTATACCGAAAATAAATGTACGCTAATTAAAAAAATGAGACATCCCTAACTAAGAGATACGGAGACTGCACGGAAGGCGTAGTGGCTACTAGTACGTAGTCACTACGTAGTCACTACTACGCTGAGTGTTGTGGGTCCGATACTCACATGGGACGACACTTTCTGTGATCCACAAATTGTTGTCCTGAGTCTGGGTGTTCTTTGTGTCCCTTTCAGGTATGTTTGTAAAGTCCCCCGCGACACAGGATATATTCCTGACGCGGGAGTTGTCTTTTTAAAAGAATATAATAGAATATACGCATAACTTAAGAAATACAAATAAAATAAACCTTCTAACACCAAAAACAGGCTACGGTAAAAGAAATTTGCTGTATAATGGAGTAAAATTGTACAATAAACTGCTCAATGATATGAAGGACAGTGAGAATGTTCGTATCATCAACAGCCTTTAATAGTCCACTACTGGACATAAGCCTCTCCTTAGAAAGGAGGTTTTGGCCTACTATAACACGCTGGCCAGACGGGTTGGTATAGGGTTTGTGTCAAGTTTTCCTTCTCTTTGCAGTGCTGTTGTTCTGCGTAGTTTTCTCCCTTAGTCGTCTCTTACGACACCCACGGGATGAATAGGGGTGGTGACACTCTGTATTCTTAATCCGTCACCACACGGACCCATCACCACACGAATGTTCGTATATAACATTGTTACTCATAATACTTTCGTAAAACAAAAGGTTCTCTTATAACTTCCTTATTGACAAAAAAATCTTTAAAAATAATGTTATTAAGGCAACCTTGAAGGCTGCTACTACCTTGAAGGGTGCTCGCGTCAGGGCCGGCTATATTTAGCACGTCCCCGTATTCCCGTTGTAGGCAGTAGGTAGTACAAATTGTTTATCCTACACTATGATATATTGATGGGCTTGTTTCTACGTCATCAGATGTCTATGAACATCGACTACTGTAATATGAGATTAAGGTTAAGCTTTTATAAGGAAAGTAACGTTGTATTGAATAAACCACTTTGATATATATTTTGTTGTCAGTGTTGGGGACAAATATATATGTACTCTATACGTACTCTGTCTTGTCCGTGTCATGACGGATTAAGAATACGGAGTGTCATCACCCCTATTCATTCCGTGGGTGTCTTAAGAGTCGACTAAGGAAGCAAACTACACAGGTCAACAGCACAGCAAAGAGAAAAAAAAACTTGAAACAAACCTCATAGCAATCCGTCTTGCCAGCGTTGTATAGTAGGCCAGGCTTTCTAAGGAGATAACCAAGTCTAACAGTGGTCTACTAAAGGCTGTTGATGTACTCTCTATACTATTTTTTTCTTTTTTGTTTGTTTGATTACTGTTTGTTTATCGAATATCTCTAAAACTACCATTCAGTTTTTCTTAAGAAATAATAAAGGGATATAGAACATTACGCTGTGAACCATAGAATCGGAGAATTGACTACAAATAAAGGTAAAACTGCACGGATCTTCGGTCTTATAGTAACCAGCCCAGACCTCTAAAAGACGTAGAACCATACCTTGCTGCTAGTCCAACTCTACCCTAATCCCACCCAGGTAGATCCTTTTTTTACAGTTAATATATTATAATCGGTAATTAATTAACTTAACAAAATGGCGAGGTCTAATGGAGGAGCTAGTCTAAGATGGAAGGGCCATATATGTCAGGCTCGTGAACGGGTACTACTTGTGGTGATTCGTCAGGTCACATGGAGTGTTTAAAGATACTTAAAAATTTTTTTTAACCCTAATGCTTTCTGAAAAACCCCTCTGTTTAAGCTACTGTAACGTATGTTTTTTTAAATAATTGTTATTAGTATTGTGTAATTATAATTGTTGTTGAAATAATTGTTTGGTTCTATTATACATATATGTATCATCATCATCATCATCATCATCAACAACCTTTACTAGTCCACTGCTGGACATAGGCCTCTTCTTAGAAAGGAGGTTCATGTATAGATATCAATAATTACAATTTCTTTTTATTGTTATTATGTTTTCCTTAAAAGCTACTGCAAACATGAGTAACATATACTCACGACTTAAGGGGGCTTAAGGGCTGGTAGAGGTATATAAAACGGACACATTTGGCCGATTTAATTTCAGTACCACTTACGTAATATGGAAAACTTATTGCCGCCAATCAGACGCATTAGGTTATTAAATGGGAAAATTAAGAGTTCAATAAAGGAGGTACAGGTCCGTGTGCTTACTGACGGATTAACAGTACGGAGTGTCTTCATCTATGTTTATCCAGTGGATGTCGTAAAAACCGACTAAGGGAGCCAACTACGCAAGACAACAGAACTTCAAAAAGAAGGAAAACTTCAAACAACCCGTCTGGCCAGCATGGTATAGTGGGCCAAAACCTCCTTTCTAAGGAGAGGCCTATGTCCAGCAGGCAGCTTATCAAAGACTATGTGATGTGAAAATGTGAAGCAGGTAAGGTGGTTTAAAGGAAGGCAATACTGCTTAAACGGACAGATTGAGGAGTCTAAGATTCGCATACCTGTAACTCGTACTGGGTGTATTTTAAAATCTTTTATTTCGGAACATCACACATCACATCAACAGTCTTTAATACTCCACTGCTGAACAGAGGCCTCTCTTTAGAAAGGAGGGTTTAGCCTGCCATACAACGCTGGCCAGACAGGTTGGTCTGGACAGGCATCGCCATAACGGCAAATAGCATTCATATACAAGCAAGTATAAATTACTATTTTAAACCCTACCCAGATAAAACTCAGAGAAGTCATCTAATTATTGTGACTATATCGATGAGCAGAAATACAATACTTATACTCTAAGTTAGTGAAGAGTTGGGTATACCGCTGATCTTAGACGATGATGCAGCATACTATTTTTCTAGGATACTCGCATTTTAACTCGATCAGACCCTTGAAAGTTATGTTATCAACACCTCTTCAAAGACTAGAGAAGAACTAATGATAATTAACAGCTTTTCTTTAATTATAGCTAACATCCTTTCTAAGGAGAGGTCTATATCCAGCAGTGGACTATTAAAGGCTGTTGATGTGACGATGATGTGATAGTTAAAAATACCCTCGATTGAGCCACCTTGCCAACAAAAAGAAGATATAGGTAAATCTCTTTTGCATTTTCATCGAATACAAATTATCAATTTTCTCATTGATTTTCACCAAATGAGGGAGGTGGCACACAAACTTATGACTCTTAAATTGAAGGGCCTTAATACTGTGTTCTGGGAGGCCATGGTAACACTCCGCTCAAGCCCATTCTGATTACAAATATCAAGTCTCTCATAAAACTCATCAACACCAAACAGTAATAAAATACATTAAAATTAAAATGATTGTCTATTAAAATATTATTATTAGCTATTGAATCGATTATTGCAAAAGGATGAGTCGAACAATGCGGCATCAAAATGTCGGTAAAGCGCGCGCCTTCTAAGGCGACCACACAAGACACAATGTTAGACATACATTCATATAACTATTTAAATATTTTGTGTGTACGACAGACTTAAAGTAAAATTTATTTTGTATCTAGAGCCAAGAGGAAGTAACTTTTGAGGTATTCTAAATCCATAAGTTTTGATGGATCTTTACTGCTAAACCAGAGAGTTCGTGGGTTTCAGTTTCATTGTCGTCTGTGTGTATTTAACTCGTAATATGTATGTATTTAGTTGTATAATAAACTAGCTGGTACCCGCGACTTCTGAGCGTGGAATTTGAAAGAGCTGCCTTAGTGGTGTAGTACAGTACGCGACTGCAGTCCATGAGACCTCGGGTTCCATTTCCGGAAAAATAGCCTAAGTTTCTCCTTATATAGACAGCTACCTGGTACTAAAATATTACCAAAATAGGTCCAGCCGTTTTGAAGATTACTCATAACAAACAGACAGACAAAATATATTTAAAGTGGTTTTTAGGCATATGTATCGTTAAATAACCATGTGAGCATGAAAAGAACCTATTATTTTGACATTAAAAAGAGACACTTTAATTTTATTTATTGGTAAAAATAAGTATGTTTATCAGCAGTCTGGTTGCCATTGTACGGCAGATGGCGTTGTAGCAAGTTGTAAGGTTTTAGACAGTTCAGAGCTGTTAGTTTGTCGAGAGTGTGCATCAGAATGCAAGCAGCCTTCTTGCATTTGTAAATAGGTTAAAATCTTTGGAGTTTGGCTGTCAAAATTACATTATTTATCTATATAAGAACTTTTTTTATGATCGCACAGATGGCGTAGTGGTTTAAGCGGTCACCTCGCCGCTTCCTTCTGCGCTAAGTGTTGTGAGTTCGATCCCCACATGGGACAACATTTGTGTGAGCCACAAATTGTTGTTCTGGGTCTGGGTGTTCTTTGTGTCTATTTCATGTATGTTTGTAAAGTCCCCCGCAACACAGGATCATATTCCTAGTGCGGGAGTTATCTTTTAAAAAAGAAGAAAACAAATACACGTGTATTAAAACACATGTTCTTTTTTTATAAAAAGGTTTTTTTTTAATGTATTTACATTTATTTAGGACAATACAATTAAAATATAATTACTAAATTCAATTTACAAATGACCAAGCCGTGTGTTAACCTATTTGACTGTTGACACAAAGGACTTTGACCGAATTATGTGAGCATGATCAGGCAGACCACAACAGCATAATATTTGATTTGAAATCTACGCGAGAACTTGAACTGAATCTTAAGTTTGTATATCTAAAAGAAAACATTATAAATAATACATTAAAATAAGTCAACTAAAACTTAAATTAAAGTTATAAACCCTTGGAGATGGAAAATTTTCTTAATATTTTATTAAATTAGTCCAACTTTACGTAAAACCAATTCAATTAAAAAACAGTTATCTAAATCGTTTCATAAATGGCGACGACATCGCATAATTCGAAACTAAAAGGAATTAAGATCCTTTTTAAAATCGGTTCAAAGTTTCTTTTCTCGACAGCATAAGTAGGGAAGCCAATCACTTCAGCCACTTCGGAAGCATTGAAGGTGCTTACGTCGGTTCCGTGACAAAATCGATAGACGGTTTAATTTGTCGCTCGGTGGCACACGCGCTTCAATACACGAACCATATTTTGGTAGCGAGCGATTTTCCATAAGCATGTTTATTTATCGAGGATTTTCGTGGTTAGGAGTCGGTTAGTGGAGCACTTATGTATGCCATTATACCTATCGCTTGAGTAGCGTAGGAGCGTATATCTGATAATAGAAGTCTATTCTATCTGTCTTTAAATATCAAATAGGTATGTTTTCAGTTAAACTGTTTTAAATTAAAGTCTATCATGATTTGTGGCTAGTCTTAAGTCTTCGAGAAGATTATAGAGAAGTGTTGTATACGGGTGTATACGGGGTCTTGCTATCCCTTGGAATCTTACATTCTTACATTATAAAAGACAACTCTCGCATTAGGAAAATATTCTGTGTCGTGGGGGACTTTACAAACATACATAAAACGGACACCCAACATTTTGTGGATCACACAAAGTGTCGTCCCATGTGGGGATTGAACCCACAACACTGGGCGTAGTATGAAGCGGCGTGGCGACCGCTTAAACCACTACGCCATCCGTGCAGTCAATCGAATCGATCCATAAGAGCAACATCTGTCTTTCAAACCACAAGAACCAATTTTTTTAACCGAACTTTTACCGTGGCCGAGCTATGCTTCCGTGTGGTAATGGATTAAGAACACGGAGAGTCACCACTCCTATTCATCATTTGGATGTCGTAAAAGACGACTAACTAGGCAGGTCGACAACACTGCTAAGAGAAGGAAAACTCTTTCCGTCACAGTACCAACCCGTTTGGTCAGCATGGCATAGTAGGTCTTTTGACCTTCTTTCATAGGAGAGGCCTATGTCCAGCTGTGGACTATTAAAGACTTGATGTGATGTTATGTGATTATTCTGCAACTAATAACCTGTTTTTTTTATGTATTATAATGTCAACCTCCGTTGCAGAGCCGTCATTATAATTTATTTTACGTTGAAAAACATAAATAAATAATCTATACTAATATTATGAAGCTGAAGAGTTTGTTTGTTTGAACGCGCTAATCTCAGGAACTACTGGTGCGATTTGAAAAATTCTTTCAGTGTTAGATAGCCCATTTATCGAGGAAGGCTTTAGGCTATAAATCATCACGCTAAGACCAATAGGAGCGGAGCACCAATGAAGAATGTTTCAAAAACGGAGAAAATTTATTACTATTGAGAGACGCAGACGAAGTTGCGCGTCAGCTACGACCGGGTCAGCTAGTTGCTAATAAGTACAGTGGCTAGAAACGTCCGAACTTACCGGTATCTCTGGTGACATCGAATAGTTTTGCCTGCAAATATCTGTTTGGTGGTGTTCCTTTTGCCAAAAACAAGCTGCCTCTGTCTGCTGATGTTAGCAGGCATACATTGACTAGGATCTGGGAACAAAATGAAGATTGTTACTTATAATATTATCATCATATGAAATTCAAGAATCTGTTGATTGAGTTTACTGGGCAGCTCCTTTGGGTCGCATGGGTATATTAGCCGTAGAATCGACAACAGTTGGGGCAAACGAGTTCTTGAGGGGAGACCGCGTCTAGGTAAACGTAGTATTGGGCGCTAACAGGCCAGGTGGTGTATCTTTCTGCGTAATATGGCTGGCAATGGGAGAGGCCTATGTCCAGCAATGGGCTGCGATGGTTTGATGATGATGATATCTCGTTAGGTTTAAATATCTATATTAACTCATTGACTTACAATGAGTTTAAAACTAATTACAAAAATATGTTAAAACTTAAAGAACAAATAAAGAAAACAGTATGAATAGTTTGGCAAGAATTGAAATCTACAATATTTTGTTGTAAATATTTTTTTCAGCTTTACTTTAAACAAAGTCAAGATTTTGAAGTCTTTTAAATTATTAGGCAAGTCATCCTACTACATTTATTAATTTAATGAAGACAGCTCTCATGCAGAGCCTGCTTAGACGCAGAAGATACAAAATTTGGGTTCCCCGAGGACACTCAGCGAGGTTATCGGTGACATCAGAGGCAATAAGAAGCATCTATACCCCGTCACTCTCAAAAGGCGCACAGCAGACATCAAGTTACAAAAATAAACCGTGAAAACTATGGTTTTCAACTTACATCGGTTTATAACCTATGGCCAGACTACCATTACTTTATAGGTTAAACGATAGATTAGGAATCTCATTGAGACTCTTCCTTCACTATTCATATAGTGGATCTAAATACTGAAGCTCGAGAAACGCGGCCAAATCAGTAACGTTAAAAACCTGCATTTATTTTCTATTAGAGTCTGATATACAGGGGAATTAGGCATATCCTCCGTCTTTAATATAGGCTTTAGAATATTGAACTAATACATTAAAAATTAAAATCAACTCATCTAAAGAAAAAAAATGTAGGGCAAGCTAGCTGTTTAAATTGTATTATTTCTCACTCATCATCATTAACTTCGCTTTTTCTGCACATATCCGTTCTAGTATCCATTAAATCTATTAAAATAAAAGATACATTGATAACACTTTATTTGTACGCCATTTTAGACGGCTAATGTACAAAGGGCGGCCTTATTGCTAAATGAAAATTTCAGACAATCTTAAGATAGATCAAAATACTTAGGAAAGACACTGGTCGTTAAAAGTGTATGAAAGTACAATACCTATAAATGGATATGCCGTGTATTCAGTATATTCTATAAATCAGTAAGACCCCGGTCCCCGATTAATAAAAATAGGGTCTGCTCAATACACTAATCTACTACATAATTTTTAACTTTTAGTATTATCTTGGGGTGCCATAATTACATAGAAAAACCAAAAAGCTGTAACGTTCTAATCTAAATCACTGCAAGTATACTCGTACGTACCACGTCCAACAAACAAAAGGTACTCGTATTTCACGTTTTTGTTGGGGTACTGGCATTATAGCCTTATAGCCGGGTATTAACTTATTCTCACGTACAACGCCATCTCGCAGCGAAACCCCGAACTTAATTGTAATGAATAAAGTAATTAATTAATTAAACAATAGATGGCAGGGTTATGTGCGTCCGTACCGTGCCTTCTATCTACGAGATCAGGAAACCAATAAAGTTAGCATTTTTAAGATAGAATACTAGACTTATTGACTTGAGAATGAAATCGTAAAATGCAGATATGCTCATAAACTATGTGTTTAAAAGGTTCTTAACGGGAATCATCAAAATGTCGGTTTTCTACATTTTAAAATACTGGGTAATAGACCCAGTTAGATGAGATAAAAAGGTACATGGATATATTTCCATGTGCCTTATTTGTTGGTAAAAAGGGGAGAAGAACTATCTTAAAGTTTCAAAAAAAAAGATTTGCATATTCTAATTTAAAACATGCTCAAAACTTAAAGTAAATGTACTGGAACCTTGGTTAAAAACTTAGTTATAATATAAAAGAGAACTGCAAAAATACAAGGTTCATCTCTTTGTTGTTCAGTTCGGTCGTTTTACTTTAAAAAGTCCATAAAGCGGAGTGCGGGATTAGATGGGATGAAACCGTTTTGTTTCAAGATTTCCACGTACCGAGATTTAGGTTAACAAGGTAAATTTTGTAACAGAACAAACCTCATCAGATTTTTTATCGTTTGTTTAAAAATTAAATTTTAGAATACTTAACTTTTTTTTATGGTATAAGGGGGCAAACGAGCATACGGGTCCTGATGGTAAGCAACTACCGCCGACCATGGACACCCGCAACTCTAAAGTCACAAGTACGTTGCTGGCCTTGGAGTCCCTCCCGCTCGAGTCAGTGGGAGGGGGGATTTGGGCTCCGGTAACCTCACTTACTATGTGAAAGGCAACGAAAGAATTGCTTAACACCGGTTTTCTGTGAGGCCGTGGTATCACTCCGGTCGAGCCGGCCCATTCGTGCCGAAGCATGGCTCTCCCACGGTAAAAACTCCGGCAATGACATTTAAATGAACAATGCAAATGGTTATTTTTTACATATATAAATCAACGAACAAAAGAGTTGAGCAAGAGAGTTACCGCTATACCCACCAAGATAAATACGGCTTTAGTTCAATCAAAACTTATATGCGAATAGCGCCATCTTGTGAAGACCTACGGTACTTCTTAGTAATGATTGATTCTATATCTCGCGATAAGAAATCCTAACATCAGTTATAGAGCCGCAGTGGAGCTGGCGTGAATAACTGTCCTGGTGAAGGATGCTCTCTTTGTTTTGGAAGGACATTTAAGCACTTCCATATCAAAACCCTTTTTAAAGTGATAACAACAACCAACTTGATCACAAAAAAGGTATTAAACCCTATAATTTCAAACCTATTATTAAAGCCCATCAATATTTCTGTGTTAGAATTAAATCTTTAAAGACGTAGGATGAGAGATAGGAATTTAAATTTTAAATTATCACTTGCGAACGTTACAAGCTAGCTAACTTAATGATAACTTGGTTAATTTGTTCCTCTAATGCTATTTGCGTCTCTCGTGTTTGTGCTTAACTTAAACCGGTAAAGAAAACAGCACATCTACAAATAACTTTTCAAAATTTATATGAAAACATAATACAACAAAAAGTTTTCTTAACTACTTTTGAGCTAAATGTTTTAGAGAACAACCTGGACCAGCGGTATGATGAAAATTCATCATCATTGTCATCATCATCAACAGCTTTTACTAGTCTACTGTCTGACACTATCTCAGGCGAGAAGTGGCACACCGTGTGGTTTTATACGGTTCGATGCCCACACACTGCCCCAGGCCACTCCTTGGAAAGGAGGTTGATTCAAATTAATAAAACAGAACATTCTTGTATATTGTGAAGCATATACAACAGGTTATTATAGTATTATGGCGATGAGACGAGCAAAAAGTAGTAAAGAAAGTTGAATGTATTTAAGATGATCTATTTAAAAGTATTCTAAGTAAAAAAATACTATGTATTTTTTTATTCTTTAAAAGACAAATGCGGGAGCATTAGGAATATATCCGGTGTCGCAGGGGACTTAACAAACATACATGAAACGGACACAAAGAGCACCCAGACTCAGAACAAAAATTTGTGGATCAAAGTGTCGTCCCATGTGGGTATCGGACACACAACACTCAGCGTAACAGCGTAAATTGATTTGACTGCACGGATGGCATAATAGTTTAAGCGGTCTCCACGCCGCTTACAACAAGCGAAAAACAAATTTCTTTTAATAAAGCAATAAATAGAGAAGAAGTGAATAGCGATCACCTTGAAAAAGTACTGGCGTCACAAGGAAATTTTCAAATCTCAGCTCCCATTACCAATAAAGAAAATATTAATGGATTCGAACATATTATGTGTTACCTACGGCTGCTAAACGTGGACAGTCGATCGCAAAACATGTAATAAAATTCAGACCATTCAAAGAATAATGGAATTAAAATCACATCACATCAACAGCCTTCAATAGTTCACAGTTGGACATAGGCCTCTCGTTAGAAGGGACGTTTTGGCCTATTATATATAATTAAAATAAAGCTTTTTTATTATTATTATTTTGTTGAATTTGTTCTTTCTCAGCTATCGCTGGTAGTATTTTAGTGAGATTTACAGACTAAGTCAAGTAAAGGCTCCGGGTTCTTGGGAGAAGTTTATTAGGTCTATTCGTCTATTGCATTGTGTATTTGTTCGTCTATTTGCAGAAATTTTCTAACGATTCTGCAAGTGTTTAATAGAGCAGCTTATTATTATTATTATTTAAAAGTATAAACGAACAAAGAAAATACATATCGATGGACCGTGTGAGAGAGAAGAAGAAGGGAAGAAGAAGAAGAGAGAAGAGAATATTGCTAGAAAGGGAAGAAGCAGTGATCGGACGAGTGATAGAGAAGTATGGAAGAAAAGTAATTGCGCTGACACCAAATAACCTTGGTAATAGGGAAGAAAAATATGAAAATAATGATCACTATGATGATTTCGAAACGTATATTTGAAGTTAACTCACACCCTGGCAAAGTATCATAAAAATTAACTATTTTAAAGTAAGTATTACCGTTTTTTTCTTTATTCCTTAATGTTCCATACTTTATTATCAAAAGAGGATCTGAAGAAGTTTGATGATGAGATGCGAATAATTCCTTCAGAGTGGTATTTTTTCTTTAAATCTAATTGGATCAAATGGCAAGCATATCCTAACAAATAAAATAAAAAACGGCGTGAGGGGTCTATGGGCCCCCGGTCGAAACGAAGTTCCTTTCGCTTTTTGGTAGACGTTTGCTATACAGTCATTATAATTTATATTATACAAAAACCAATATAACCATATCAAGAAATGTCAGCAAAAGCTCTTGTTACACATTTATAGGTCTCGCTTCCAACTTCGTTCCAAAAATCTAAATCCGTCCATATATGACCGAGATCTGAGGTAAAAAATACAACCGAATT